ATGTCCATTGGGAACTTATGTTCTAAACAATTTGTACTTATTTTCTAATATGTTAATTTTATTGACATGAAGTTACTGATAATATCCTATACCATCTTTTCCATCTATTTAAGATCTGTAGTAACATCCCTCTTTCATTCTGATTATTGGTAAAATACCTTCATTTTGTCTTTATCAGTATTGCTGTGTCAGTTTCATTAATTTTTTAAATAAAATCCAATCATTATGTTTGTTATTTCCTATTACTTTCTATTTTCTGTTTCACTGATTTCCACTCCTATGTTTCTGATTCTCTTCTATACCTACTTTCAGTTTAGTTTTTCTCCTTTTACCAGTTCCTCTCAAAGTTCAAATAATTGCTTATGAGGCTTCCTTCTCTAAGATATAAAAATATTAAAGCTATAAATATATTACAATGTACTACTTAGCTGCATTTCATGAAATCTGATACACTGTGGTTTTATTATCATTTCCATGTGAATTTATATATAATTTCTCTGTTGGTTTCTCTTGACACACTAGTTAACAAAAAGTGTGTTGCTCAGTTTCTAACAATGTATGAATATAATTTTTGATATCCCAAATAATTCTGTTTTTGTCTGAGAACATACTGTGTGTAATATCCTTGAAATTTATTGAGTTTTAATTGCTGTTCTTCAACATGAGTTGCTCTAGTGAGTTCCACACATGTACTTAAATGTTTATTGTGTAATTGTGTGCAGTGTTCTACAAATATCAACTAAATCAAGTTGTTTGATGATGTTCCAATTGATTTTATTCTCACCATTTTCCTACATGTACTAGCAATTACTAAGAAAAAATATTGAATTCTTTTAATTCTTCAACTAGGAGTGTGAACTTGTTCATTTCTCCTTTCAATTATGGCATTATTTGAAACCATATGTTTTTAAGTTCTGTGATTAGGTAGGTTTGTTTTATCTTCTTGGTAAATTGATACTAATCATTGTGAAAAATCCCTTTTAGTCTCTTGTAATACTTTTAATCTGATATTAATAGAGTCATTTCAGATTTCTTATGTTTAGGGCTTCTATAGCTCTTTTCATCCTTTTTCTTCCATTCTGTCTTTATATTTTAATTGTTTCCTTTGTAAACTACAGAATTAAATCTTTCCCTTTTTAGCCAGTTTATAATTTTTGCTTTTAAATTTTATATTGCATATAATTATTTATGATTATATCTATTGCATTTTTTAAATTCACACCCCTTTTTTTAAAGATTTATTTATTTATTTATACAAGCACTGGGTACAGTCAGAAGCGTGGGAGGGTGAGAGAATTCACCAGAGCCAGAGCAGGGAGCAGAGCAGGCAGAAGGACCAAAGTACACTGCTGAGGGGAGCAGCAGGCGGCAGGAGAGGTCTGCGTGCCATGTGGAACCCTCCTCCGGTGGCCGGGGAGCAGCTGGGGATTGAACCGGTGCTGTAGAGGCTGCGGACAGCCCCGCAACCCAGCACTCAACCGCTGCACCACCAGGGAGGCCCCACATCCTCTTTTTTTTTTGTTCTTTTATTTCTTGTTTTCTTTTTCCTTTTGGCTTAATTGCGTTTTTTGATATTCCATTTTAAATACTAAATGGTCTTTTTAGCGACAATATTTTCAGAAGCATTTGCTCTAAGGATAAATACTCTTTTCTTATCACAACCTACCTGAAATTAGTAGTATACCACTTCATATATAATGAAAAAATACTATGTAATTCTCATACTTGCCAAGGCACAGATCAGTGAAATATTCACTAGAGATCCTTAAGTTTTCATATGTTGGGGAACTCCTAAGAATATAATAAAATTGAGGGCCTCCCTGGTAATGCAAGGGGTTAAGACACAACCTAAGAAGTTATCCACAACCACTGCAGCATGAGTTCGATCATCAGTGAGGGAGCTACCCAATGGCACAGCAGACCTCTCCTGACTTGCTCACTGCTCCCCTCAGCAATGTATTTCAGTCAATCTGCCTGTTCTGTTCCCCACTCTGTCTCTGGTGAATCCTCTCACCCCTCACATCTCTGGCCTGTACCCCAGCTCTTGTATGCATAAATAAATAAATCTTTTTAAAAATGATCTAAAAAATTGAGAAATATTTCCAAAAGGCCTGTGTTGAAGATATAATATACTGGAGAGAAATATACTCAAGGTAATCAGGATTAAGAAGACTGCCTGATTCCAAATTCAAATGTGCACAGGAGAACTCATATGAAAGAGAAATTCTATTCTGTGGCTATAAGAAAATCTCCATTGACCATTGTCAAAAAAAGCATGGGATCACACACTTGATACAAACCCTATCAATGAATGCAGAGAATCCACAGGTATAATTTGATCTTAGGACCCATGTGAAAATTCATGTTGGAGAAGAATATTATGCATATATAAAAAATGTGGGAAAGCCTTTATTTATTCTTAAATGCTGTACATGTAAGAATGGTCATAAGAACTAACCATTGTCTTTCATCTCTTAGAATATGTATAAAAATTCTCACTAGAGAGAACTTCTATGAATGTAAAAAGATGTAGGAAATCTTCAGTTATTCATCACCCTTTAGGGCACATGTGAGAACTCATATTGAAAATATACATTATCCATGCAAAAGAATGTGAGAAAGCCTTTATTTCTTCTACATTCCTTACTGTACACAGAAGAACTTACATTGCAAAGAAGTCTTATGAATATAAAGATGTGGGAATATTTTCACTTATTCCTCAAAACATACTCTGCAAGTGTAAGTTGCATACCAGAAAGGTAGATATCTCTCTCTCTTTTCTCTTTCTCTCTCTCTCCACACACACACACACACACACACATACACATTATATACATATAATGAATATCAAAAAGTCTAGTTTCCCCTTCTCCTTTAATTACTACATGAGTATAAATACTGGAGATAGGCTCTGTAATAGCAAACATTGAAAAATACTTCTATTCACATTTTACTGTGTATGTGATAATACGCACTTGAGTGAAATTTTGTAAATGTATGAAAAACAGGGATCCCTTCATTTGTTCCTCAACCCTTAGGAAACCTATGAGAACTCATACTGGAGAACAATTCTACTAGTATTTGGCATATATGAAATTCTAATTATATCTAATTCTTTAAAAGCCATATGAAATTCACATCAGAGAGACATCATATAAGTGTAATAAATGTAAGAAAGTGTAATTCTTAATACTTTAGTACATGTGTGAGAACACATACTGAAGAGAAAATGATAGAAACCATGTGGGGGAAGTCCAAGTTATTACCATTTCTCAGGCAGCAAGTGAAAGCTCATATTGGGACAGGAATGTACATAATGTGGAAAATCCTTTAGTTTTCCCTCATACTTCAAAGACATACTTGAAAGATCACACTGGAGAGAAACCCAATGAATGTAACCAATGTGGGAAAACCTTCAGGTTCATCTCTTATCACGGATAAGGAAATTTTGTACTGGAAAAGAGATCTTTAAAATGTTGTAAATAAATGTTATCAATGCCCCATCTTCAAAGTGATCCACAGTTGATATATTTACAGTTTTCATATTGTAATACAAATCTTCTTGGTATTTCCAGTATCCATTCAGTTAGATCACACTTTTGTTATATACAATTATATATATAATTACCATTGTGAGGGCTCCTTGAATAGAAGTGTGTGTGTGTATATCTTCTTGTCTCCTTGGACAAAAACATGTTATTTAATATGCAAGTAAGTATATTTAACATTAATTTTATTATTGTTTCTAATTATTTTCCACAATATGCTATGTGGGTCGTCTTTAGGATATTGACTTGGGTACTTGTTGGGATTTTGTTTCTGGTCTACTATCGCAGACCCTGGGATTTAGATATCTGATATCTAGTCTGCCCCTCTTCCTTTCTAAGAGAACTTAGACAGTTTCAGGTCTACTAATGAAATATATATATCT